TTCCAAGTCTTTGCTATTGTGAATAGTGCCGCAACAAACATACGTGTGCATGTGTCTTTATAGCAGCATGATTTATAATCCTTTGGGTATATACCCAGTAATGGGATGGCTGGGTCAAAAGCTATTTCTAGTTCTAGATCCTTGAGGAATCGCCACACTGTCTTCCACAATGATTGAACTAGTTTACAGTCCCACCAACAGTGTTCCTATTTCTCCAGATCCTCTCCAGCACCTGTTGTTTCCTGACTTTTTACTAATTGCCGTTCTAACTGGTATAAGATGGTATCTCACTGTGGTTTTGATTTGCATTTCTCTGATGGCCAGTGATGATGAGCATTTTTTCATGTGTCTGTTGGCTGAGGATGTGCATTTTCAAGTATTCTGTGTTTTACACGTACCATTGAGGAACAGAAGACTGTACCACTAAAAAACAAAAATATGCCACTGAAAACAGAAAACAAGAATTTTTTGAGTTTGAGAAAAGATTATAGTCTAAGGCTTTACAGGATAAGAAATGTCAGGGGGGTTTTTTTGTTTTTTTTTTTTTATTGAGACGGAGTTTCACTCTGTCGCCCAGGCTGGAGTGCAGTGGCCCGATCTCAGCTCACTGCAAGCTCCGCCTCCCGGGTTTACGCCATTCTCCTGCCTCAGCCTCCGGAGTAGTTGGGCTACAGGCGCCCGCCACCACACCCGGCTAATTTTTTGTATTTTTTAGTAGAGACAGGGTTTCACTGTGTTAGCCAGGGTTTCACTGTGTTAGTCAGCAGGTCTCGATCTGATGACCTCGTGATCCACCCGTCTCGGCCTCCCAAAGTGCTGGGATTACACGCTTGAGCCACCGCGCCCGTCCTTGTTTTTTTTTTTTGGTTGTTTTTTTTTGAGATAGAGTCCCACTCTGTTGCCCAGGCTGGAGGTTGGCGTGCAGTGGCACAATCTCGGCTCACTGCAACCTCCACTTCCTGGGTTCAAGCAATTCTCCTGTCTCAGCCGCCCGAGTAGTTGGGATTACGGCCATTTGCCACCACGCCTGGCTAATTTTTGTATTTTTAGTAGAGACGGGGTATCACCATGTTGGCCAGGCTGGTATCGAACTCCTTATCTCAGGTGATCCACCCCCCTCGGCCTCCCAAAGTGCTAGGATGAGCCACCGTGCCTGGCCAGAAATAGCAGTTCCTTTTTTTTTTTTTTTTTTTTTGAGACGGAGTCTCGCTCTGTTGCCCAGGCTGGAGTGCAGTGGCACAATCTCAGCTCACTGCAACCTCCACCTGCCAGGTTAAAACAATTCTCCTGCCTCAGCCTCCCAAGTAGCTGGGACTACAGGCGTGTGCCACCATGCCCAGCTAATTTTTTTTTTGTATCTTTAGCAGAGATGGGGTTTCACCGTGCTGGACAGGCTGGTCTTGAACTCTTGACCTCGTGATCTGCCCGCCTCGGCCTCCCAAAGTGCTGGGATTACAGGCGTGAGCCACCGCTCCTGGCCCTGAAATGGCAGTGTTTTACTACTTATTTAGAAGTAGTACTCCAACTATACATTCTTAGTGGTTTATATTCTGAGAGCAAAAAGAATGAAAACAAGCAAAAGCCCTCAAACACCACAGATTTATTGCCAGTAGTGGTATTGGTAAATTTTGAAACTCTTAGGCCTACTATAAAACAAACCATAAATTTATTAGTAGAAACTCTAAAAGAAAAGAAATACAAATATCCTTTTTGTATTGTATAAAAGAAGATCCACCTTCTTTTATATTTGTACTTCTTTTCTCTTACAGTGGGAAAAACTGATGTTAAAATCTCTGATGTTAAATTGAATTAGAATTTTTCATATGTATATTTCTTAGAAGCAATGTCACCCCACTAGAGAATGCCCACAGCTTGATATCAAAATGCCAATCCCCACTAAAAGGAAACAATGTTTCTTAGAGAAATGGCTAATTTCCGGTTTCAGGCCCATAAAGTACAAAAAAAGAAAGTTAAGCCTGAAATACCTTGCCAGAAATCATGGAAGTGCCCCAGAATGAATAAGGTCAAGTTAAAAGCCCACAGAGCCCAGCTCAAGTGGGGTCCACTAGCCATATATGAGACAATTTGGCCACTAAAAAGAATAATTAATAGATCATCAAAGCCTTCAATACATTTTAAAAATCCATTAAGTCCAGAGTGATACTCAAAGAGTTTGGGAAGGGAGTTTCTCTTTAAAGAAGAATGTCAGCCAATTCATATAAATAAAATGACAGAATCAGAAAAATTACCATTTGCCATTTCCAATAATTCAGGCAAGTATCATCAGAAGCTAAAACCCATCTGGTGAAAGGAGGTGGGGAAAAGGAAGATGCTGGCATGATGTCAAAGTATCACACTTACATACAAAGCATCCCCACAGACTATTCAATAATTACAAAGGGGAAATATATCTTACTATGATAAAATTCAGCTGTCACCAACTTAACCCAGAGATCAAGTTTAGTACTGCTAATTGTGGAACAACTTGATTTTATATGCCTGTTGATTTGATGCAACATGAAGCAATAATAGCATTACCTGTGAAGGAAGGCTGCCAAAAATGCTTAACCTGAATACAATCAAGCTTATTGACCCAACTTCCAGTATACAAGAAATATGGGCATAAGGAAACAAGTAAATTGAGCATGAGGGAAGAACTACATCCAGAATATGGGACATTCTATAAGAAAACACCTAAATTCTTCCAAAGGTCAGTGACATTGAAAAGTGTGGGGAAATGTTCTAGATTAAGAGGTAAACAGATGTAACAAGCCTATGGATAAATCTTGATTGATCTTGGTTTCAAAAAATAAAGCTGTAAAAAATTTAGGGACCCCTGGAAAATTTAAGTATGGACTCAATATTAGATTATATTAAATTATTGCTAATTGTATTAGATGTAAAAACTATTTTATGGCTTCTTAGGAGAATGTCCTATACTGACTATAGAAGTGTTCTATAGAAGTGATTGTTTCAAGTTTTTCAAAATGAAAAATATAGATAGACTAGCTAAAACGCCTTTTAAAATCGTTTTGGGAGGTGTGTGTGTACGTGTGTGTTTGGGGATGATGGGGAAGAGCAGAAGGTAGTTGCAGGGAACTCTGGGCATTAGCAATAGTTTAACAAGCTGAGAAGTAATACAGGAGATTACAAAAGCATTGTCAGAAACAAAAGACAATAGAAGGCCAGATAGGTCAAGGTTTAGCAGGAAAGATGTGGGCAGTGGAGGCTGAAGCAGTCACCAGGAGCTCTTTGAAGGGCAGGAAGGAAAGCATGATTAACATGTGAAAGAATTACTTTGACTTCACCACATGCAGGAGAGTCCAGTGGGTCTTCCCTTCTGATGTTGTGATAGGACGTTTATTTCATCTTTTGGCCCTGTTTAACTTCCTCGTATAGCAGCTCCAGCAGCAGTCTTAAGACGGTCTTTTAAACTCGGAGTTCAATTGGATTCATTTGCATCACAGTCCCTGAAAGTACCCTTCTCATCTGCATATTCCCCACCCCATATTCATGTCACTTACAGATCATTTATCTTAGAAAAAAGAGGAATGGGGTGAATTAGTCTACATTATTTGTATTGCACAGTGGATAAAAGAGCAATATTTTAATGAAGGTTGGTTAAACCAAACAACCATGAGTGGCAGGGGATGTACGTTCCCAAATGTAGACAGGAAAAAATAAGACAGTTAACTTGACTTTTTCCAAAAACCAAAATGAATCCCAGAGTTTTCCCCCATGAAGACTAATGGGCATAATTTGACATGGTCACATTTAGCCATTTTGTTGATATTATTTATGTCAGCAGTTGAAAAACCCCCGAAAACTACACAATGAAGACCTTAATGCTCAAAGATTCCATTAGGTGGCAGTCACGATACAGGAATCTTTTGATGTCTGATTTTTTTTTTTTTTTTTTTTTTCC